CCCTCTCCCCCCATCCCCCTCACCGGGCCAGCTGAGGTGTTTGCTGCATGACCAGGAAGACTTTCATTATCCCCCCCATGGGGCAGGGCCTTTGTGCCCCTCCATCTGCCAAGCCCCCAGCACAGCCAGCACCCTGTACTGGGAGCACTGGGGTGCTGAGCGTGTGCCCCCCCCCAGCTGTCACCCCATGCTGGGGGAGTGCGTCTGCCACCCTGGCTGGGCCGGGCTCTTCTGCAACGAGAGCTGCCCCCCCGGCTCCTTCGGGCCTGGCTGCCTCCAGAGCTGCCTCTGCCTCCACGGGGGAGCCTGTGACGGGACCACCGGCCTGTGCCACTGCCCCCCCGGCTACACGGTGAGGACACGGGGGGCTGGTGGCCTGGGGGAGCACTGTGGGGCAGCCCTAAGCGGGAGAGGGAGGGTCTGGGTGGTGCTGGAGGGGATCATGGGGGCTCCAGGTGGGAGTGGTGGGTGTCTGGGTTGCTCAGAGATGGGGCAGTCGTGGGGGTCTGGGCACCCCTGGGGGAAACATGGAAGTCTGGGTGTCCTTGGGGATGGGTTGGGGTGGTTATCTCTGAGGGTCTGGGCATCTCTTGAGAGGTCAGTGGCAACCCCTGGGGTTCCCATGGGAGAAGGGGGGTTTTGGGGTTGTCCACTCTCCCTGCAGCACCAGGATGCCAAAAGGAGGGATGAGGGGGTGGTCCCTGGGCACCTGGGCCCTTTCCTCAGCCCTGGGTGGGGGTCCCATCTGTTCTGAATTCTTCACCACCACCACCACCCCCTCCCCAGGATGAGCACTGCTCCTCCCTGTGCCCCCCTGACACCTTCGGGGTGAACTGCTCGGGGCGCTGCTCCTGCCAGCATGCCCTGGGGTGCTCCCCGCTCGATGGCTCCTGCTTCTGCAAAGAAGGTGGGTGCACATCGGAGGGTGGATGGGGGGGGTCCCTGTGCCCATCCCCGTGCCCACCCCGCTGTCCCCTCACCCCGCAGGCTGGCACGGACCTGACTGCTCAACGCCGTGTCCCGCCGGCATTTGGGGTCCCGGCTGCAACCAGAGCTGTGACTGCGCCCACGGTGCCTCCTGCGACCCCCAGAGCGGGGCCTGCAGGTGCCCACGGGGCTGGCAGGGCCCCCGCTGCCTGCAGCCGTGCCCGGTGAGTCCCGCTGGCTGTGCTGCTGCCAGCACCGGGGTTTGGTGCCACCATGCTGGCAGTGACCCCCCTTGACCTGTCCCCCGCGCTGCAGAACGGGACGTTCGGGGCGGGCTGTGGGGAACGCTGTGACTGCGCCCACGCCGACGGCTGCGACACCGTGACGGGGGAGTGCCACTGCCTGCCTGGCTGGATGGGTAAGGGGGGTCCCCCGGGGGTGGCGGGGCCCCACTGTGCCCTCAGACGTTGCCCTTCACCCCTCCTGCCCCTCCTCGTCCTCGCAGGGCCGCAGTGCAAGCAGGGCTGTCCCCACGGCTCCTGGGGCCGGGGGTGCCGCATGTCCTGCTCCTGCCGCAACGGGGCCTCCTGCTCCCCCCAGGACGGATCCTGCACCTGCCCCCCGGGGTACCGCGGCCCCACCTGCCAGCGCCGTGAGTGAACAACCCCCCCCTCCCACCCCCCCACAGCTGCGGCTTGCTTCCTGCCCGGTCCTTGAGCCCTGAGCTGAGACCGGGTGCGACTCCTGTCACCCCAGCCTGCCCTCCCGGCCGCTACGGCAAGCGCTGCTCCCTGAGCTGCTCCTGCGCCAACGGCTCCTCCTGCCACCCCACCAATGGCTCCTGCCTCTGTGCCCCGGGCTGGCGTGGCCCCCGCTGCTCCCAGCGTGAGTGGGGGGCCGGGGAGGGGGCCAGGGGGAGAGGGGGAGTGCGGAA